GGCGCACTTGACCTCTTAGAGGTCTTATACAATCCCATATTTATCGTTCATCGCATCAACATAGTAAATTTAGCGGAAAATTTAAAACTTTTCATAGAACCTTATATGTTAAAAACATTACTTCATATACATATAAAATATAGTTCATAATACATATTTAGACTCTAAGTCTATTTTCCATCTTAGACTCAACAACATTAGAATACATTAGGGACACGGCCCATAAGACACATTACATAACTATACAATATTTGAAGACTTTAGAAGAAATACACATTAGGACATCCATGGACTTAAGGATTCCTTTCCTTGATCTTTGGAATAACCTATTCACCATTCAAGACATCCTTTAAGCATCCATAACCTACACTTTGTGTAAAAAGTAGAAAAGAATGGGATTGGCACAAGAATGTACTAAGTATGGAAACCATGAAAAAATATGCATTTGAAAGAGGCGTTTTCTTTGAAATCATACTTCATGCCATTTTGAGTAAATCATCATAAAATATTTATCAATAGAATATATATAATTTTCATACTTCATAGAAACACAGTCAAAGGCCAAAAGTCATAGAAAAGCACATATCATTATAGAAGTATTAGAGAATGGCTCTCTAGATCGAAGAAGAAAGTGTTTGATCATATTTTTCTCGTTTGAAATCTTTGAGAATGGCTCTCTAGATTAAAATATATATAGAGATGAAAATCACCATAAATTTGTCTAGCTTAAAACCTCTTAAACTTTACGATTCATCCATAGAGAACCCTGCTTGAATTTGTTCTCGAACTTCACCAACAATGGTTCTTTCTAGAGGGAGTATATTTTGAGGGAATGGTTTCCATCTTATGAGAGAATTCTAGAATGGTACTCACGTTTTTTGTGGATTATATACACCAAAAAAATAGCTAAAATAAATCTATTATATTCAGGTTAGGACATGGGGTGAATTTCCCATTCACCCCTTTAATGTAACAGACGCAGGTTGCACGTTGCAGGCCACCTGCGATGAAGGCAGTGACGAGGCGTCGAGGACATGATGGGCCGTGCCTGGCCTCCGTCGTTGGGTACTTAGCAAAATATTGTCTTTACACCTGCCCAAGTCCAATCTCAATCTATGAGAGATGCTCGAAGAGCCATTGGTTGAACAACGATCCGCGTTGCTTCCATCAATGGACACCTCCCAGGCAGTGTCTTAGGCAGCATTGGGTCCTTCTTTTGGGGCCTCTTGTGAGCACTTTGGAAGTCGTATCTAGACGTTTCCAATATGATTATAAACTTTAAAAATTTATAGACCCTTCACAAACAAGTTCATTCTGCTCCGTATGTCCTTAACCATTTCAGGTTAGAACAGGACAGTTGGGTGAAATTCAACCCATACTCGTGCACACTCAAAGAGTCTTTTTTAGTGTAAGGAACTCTCTTACCTTGGACTCTTTTAATTATCGGTAAATTAATTCTCCAAGATGGCTTATTCAAAGCAAACCTAACACGTATTTAGCACATTCTCATTGCTACTCTCTTCCTACTGATTGAACCATGTTCTAGCCATATTTTTCATTTGATATATAGTTAGTTAAACTCTCTCAGCATCAGAAACATGCATGATATCAAACACCTTGTTGATTTCCTCAATAAAATTCTACAAATCATCAAAAGTGTTTGAACCAGTGAAACTTGGAAAGTTCATCCTCAAGAACTCACGAATCCTTGCAGTATCAGCCTCTTCTTGTCGAGCTCGCCGTTGTTGCTTGATTTTGTTAGTTACCATTTGGATTAACATCCTAATAACCTAGGAACTCATCATTGGTAATTTCTACTTGAGGTTGCACTTGAGCCGCATTGGGTAACTCTGGTTGCTCTAAGTTCGTCTTAGTTGGACGACCTCTTGTTGCTCTTCATTGAGCATGGTTATCTGAAACACACGCAAGCATGAATTAGTGAGAGTGAATTTTAGAAATAAATGCTAATGCAAAAAAAGAATATGAAAGAAGTGAGAAAAACCTAAATGTTGCATCCTTAATTATAGATATGGAGCGCTTCACATTGATAACTAGGACTCTACAGACACGACTTCATAGACTCCCGAGAACTCTTGAACTCTATGCTCTTATACCAAGTTTGTCATGCTCAGAGCCTGCACCCTGGACGTGGACGATACTTGAATACAATTGCTGGCTCGAGAAAACCCTTGTCCATGCTAACCTTACTTAGCGGAAGACTTAACTCAATAAAACAGTCTAATGATATAAATTAAAGAAATAATAAGTTGGCCAAAATACCACTTAAGTCTCATAACAAAGTATCTGAAATGTAGAAATAAGACTCATAACTGACTATCTAACTATCTATGAAGCCTCTATAATACTTACAGCGATATTGTGACATACCCCATAACATCCTATAAAAAGAGAGACTGAAAAGCAATAAATGTGTCCTCCAGAATGCAAGGAGGATTACCACTAACTTCGAATTCTCAAATGGATCAATGAGGCGCTAGATGATGCTTATCCTTGTTATCTGCATCTGCATCAGGATAAGATGCATGTCAATAGGCATTAGTACATTAAAAGTACAATTATGAAATTTGGAATACTAACAACAACTTAAACTCGAAAAACAGTAAGAAGGGACATATACCTAGGCTCTGCTCAACTCAGGATTAACTTGACTTAATATAAAGCAATATGACATGCAATATATAAAATCTTGTAAAACAACGAATACACTTACTTAGCAAAAGAAAATGCAATAACAAACTCAAATTTACTTAAGTATAAAGTAATATAGTTTCTATGATAGATTCTCTAACCGACAACCATCACTAAGAGCCTAAACGATAGTACAACGTCTTACCTCACGTTGCAACCGGATCTTCTTATGACTAGTCGTCAGTTTTGAACCTTAACTATCAAATGGATCCACTAGTCTATGCTAAAAAGCACTAAGGAATCATCTAAAAGATATGATCATTCTTCTGTCCATGTTGGCTACATAATTTATGGGGGCTTGAGTTAATATTAACTCGCGTCCCCATATCAATGCTCAATACTACTCGCAAAATACGTAGCTCATATGTTTTTGAAACAACTTATTCTCTGGTCTGAGGTAATTGCTCTAATATAGCCTTAAAAGATCACTTGGAAATCATAGTTTCCTCTTTAGTAAAACTAGTCAAAGGCTCTGTTGGATTTCTAGCTTCCTTTATTATACAAAATGTAGGGAATACTTAGTTCTCTTATAACTTTTTTGAAATGAACTCAACTCTTTACACTTTGCTTAACTTGCAACTTGAACCTAAGAACAAAGTTAAAACATTTGTTAAAGACTCTTGGAAAACATGAAGAACTTGTTTTGACTTGCTTCTTATCTTTTAGACTTGACTCTTAAGTTCTTTTACTATGATCTTAACTTTCCTTGAATTGGATTATGAATTCAAGGTTCATGATCTCATGTTTATGGATGATTTCATGATGTTTAGATAAATCTTAGAGTGTTGGATTAACCAAGAAACATGGTTACATCATTTAGGAACTAGTACCAAATAGTGGAGAATGAATGGAGTGAACTAGCGTCCTTGGCGCTTTAAGAGGTGTGGGGCTCCAGTCCTAAAACATCAGAGGTTAATTAAGGCACTCTCGTTGGCGTGCCGCCCCAAGGCCCTACAGATAGAGATTGTCATGTTGGGCTATGGCAGGCGTGGCGCCCCAGGGCCCTACAGATATGCATTTTAAATTTTCTCTCCATTTTTCATTTGTAAACCCTCTAATCTTCCGTGGTTCATCCTGCGAACACTTCTTGTCATTAGTACCCTCAATACCTAATAGATTTTACTCAAAAAAACAACCTGGAAATACCATTAAATCAACACTAGGCATGCAACAACTCAACCACCAAGAATTCAACAATGTTCTTCAAGAACTTCACTTTTCATCATTCAATCTACTCAAAATTGCTGAATTTAAACAAGTTGGTGCATGGGTGAATTAACCCAACACGAATGATCTCACATACGTTGGCGTTCTTGACGAATCTTGACTTTTCTCCCTTTTCATCCTCTTTTCTCTCTTCTCCAAACCCTAATTGGTGAAAAGACTAGTATTGCCTTCCTTAAATCTGGATTGGGATTTTTCTTACCTCAATAGCCCAACTTCTGATAGGCATATCTCTCTCATAGGATATCGAAATTGTGCAAAATAGGAGTTGTTGTAAAGATCTCTCCCAGGGCTTTCTAGACATATCAAGAAATATATCTAAGTCATCCTTATCTAGGAGTTATGACCATTTAAAAATGACCCAAACTCACTTTCTTAACTTCGAATTTTTTTTCAATTTTTTCTCTTTCTTTCCAGAAGTGAACATTTTTAGTTTCTTAGCTTATTCCTAGTCATTTCAAATTGTGAGATATTACAACGCTCCTCCCCCCACCCCCAAAGCAAGTTAATTTTTTTAAAAAAATATTTTCTATTTCAAAAATTATTTTCAACTTTAGTAAAATTAAAAGATATTTCTCAAAAATATATTTCATTCATAAACCAAACACTAAAATCATTTGCTAAAAATACTTTCTACTCACCAAATCAAATATGAAAAAACAAGTCATAAAAAAAAATCTACTTGCTTTCCAAGAAAACATTTTCCTTCATACCAAATACACTTAGAGCTAAGCAATTTGACTCTATTCACTACCACTTTCACAGTGTGCCTGTTCATTCTCATTTTCATCATCTGTTTCCGATTTTGGTTCATCATGAAATTTTGTTTCATCATCTTAATAATCATTCGAATCGCTTCAGTTTATTAATTCTTCATTTGGATCATTTCGGAAAACATTTTCATTGTCGTACACCATATCGAATCTTAAACCATTTTCGTCCTATTAGAATGGCTCTGCATCATCTACTAGAGGAGATGACAAATATGACGGAGGCATAACCTCAATACCCCGACTTTTCTTTTGCACACAGCCCACCAATCATTGTTAACACGTCATAAGATAGGATAAGAAGCATAATATACTTGAGCTGCTTGCATTGCCAAAGTAAATGGTTCATACATCAATTTCTTTTTATGGTTGACATCCACAAGTTTATATTGCGGATGATCTTCATTCCTCAATTTGGTGTGGTGTCAAACGATTCAGATTTAAATAAAACAATTCTTTTGATCTGTGTACTGCCCTTGTACTCCGGTTCTAGAATAATCACACTATAGTAGTCATTGTCGTTAACAATATATTGGTTCCTTTTATGCAAACTCCACTGCTATTAGATGCTCTAGAAAAATTACAACCTTTAGGGTTAAATTTAAAGGCGTTGACATTATCAACAGTGTATGGTTTTGCTGATCGACATGGACATCTGCAAGTGCCTTGATGAACTGATTATCTATGTGGGCTTGAGCCTATTCAATAAAAAAATTAGAGTTTCTTATAAGTCAACTAAGTATAGATGGAAATATATTATATAAGCTCGCATATCTTGTGAACCGATGCAAAAAATTCATCAAGTTTCTTGTCCCCTTCCTGCTCCGTAATTTTTGGAAATTTTTTATGAAGAGGGTCAATAAATTTCCTTAGGATCACATATAAGAAAAATAATATGTAAGACTTTTGATAATTATAATGTATAAATGTAAACAAAAGCTTGAAATCTTACTCCAAATATGGTTCCACTTCTCTGCAATTTAGTAAAATATAAATTAGCTGCTTTACGTTCTTCTTCGGTTAGATATCTCCTCTTTAGTTCCACAAATCCCCGACTTGGATAGGTGAAACTAGAAAGATTACCATCGTGTCTATTTTGTCTGCCTATGCTCCATCGCCATTTTGTTGCACTTTTCTATGCCGTGTGTAAATATGAGAATCGAAGTAGTATGAACAAAAGGAGGAACCTTCATCACTTAAGCTGGGGAATGATGATCATTTATTTTTCTGGAAAGAAAGATGGCTAGGGACAAAGAGTGCGATGTGATTTCTCATCTCTTTTTCTAATTGCCAACAATCAGGAATTCAGTATTTCTTAGTATTGGCAAGACAACTCCCGGAAAGAGCAAGCTTCATTAAAATACTAATATTTGGACACACTATGATGATTTAGAAGTTTTATACTCTTACATATACTAAATCAACCAAATGACATTTTAACATTCAGCTTTTGCACAAAAGTTTTTCTAACTGTGGCGTTTAAAATTTTATTTTTGGCCGCTCAATATAATATCACTTTAAACATTAAAAGGCATAGCAAGTTTGTTTTTTACAGGTTAAAAAAACTGTTTGCACTTTCAAACAGTAAGTACTTCTAATAAATTTCATAATCACCTTGTTAAGTTTCGAATGATGTGGCTTAATATATTAAAATATAAACTTATCATTTAGCAGGGGGCTTAAAAATATTGTACTGAATAGTGAACCCAATTCACAAATATGTTACAGAAATCAACACATATAGGGGATTCAAAAACGCAAGTCTATATTTTCACTATATGAATGGTATACATTCATTAAGAAAATAAAGCATATACGAACTTCTACAATTGACTGATTGTATCAAACGAAAAGGAGAAACTAAACTTGATAAAGAATTCTTACCACTTAATGAAAAGGATTGTGAAACTGAGAGTCCAAACGTCACAGATGAATTGCGAGTCATTGTAGTCGGAGACAATCTTCAAAATGGGATTAAAATTAAGAGGATTTAGAAAAAGTACTGAAACTAAACGTGGGTGGAAATTAGAGGGGAAAAAAAATTAATTGTGGCAAAAGTATTGTTTGTAATTTAAGGAGGTGGGGAGTTTAGGGGGAAAGTTTTTGATTTCTTCTCTCTTCTTTTCAACTTATTTTTTCAATTCTAATGAATTCTTCCAATTTCTTTTTGAAGTATTTGTAAAATTCTTTGAAAATTCTTTATTATTCACCAGAAATGAAGTACAAAACAATAACCAAATTTTAAATTGATAAAATTCAAATACTAAAAATGTAATAATATTTAGGAATTGGAACAAGTACTGAAATCTGCAACAAACTAAGCACCTCAGGGAAAACAATCAACACATGCACTGATTAATTGAACAACACGATGTGGGTCTTTTTGTAGATCTGAGATGCAACTCATGATTTGTTACACTCCATATATCAAACTCACTGCAGCCAATTAGATCTTGAGATGAAAACTTTGTCGGTTTATAGATAAATCTGTTCCACTCTTGAGAGGAGATATATTGTTGATCTATTGTGGAACTTAGAAAACATATCAGTAAAAAGATTACCCAGTTCGATTAGCTTAGCGTAGAAATTCTTGGTTAAACTTGTTCTTCCTCATTCAGCTTTCTGTTTCTTCTTCACTGCATCTTAGAAAATCTTGATGACATCTGTTCTTGTTCACAGCAGCTTAGAGATACTTGATGAATAATCTCTAAGCTGATTTTTGTTCACCGCAGCTTAGAGATCTATTTAGGAAGAATCAAGTAAAATGATTGTTAATTCTACCTGCCTTTGTTGTTCTTTTTGGACATTTTTTGCTTTGGCATAATATATAAATTGCTCCATGATAAAAGTTGTGAGTTTTGACTTTTATTAATAGTTGTAGTTTTTATGAAAAGGTGTAACTTTTCGAAAGATTATAACTTTTCAAAAGTTTGTGAATAATTTTATAAGACACTATAAAAATATTTTCGTACTAACCTTTGTTTTCTATAAACTGAGGCATTTCTTTTAATTATAAACTTAGAATTTACAAGCTTCTACTACTACTAAATGTAGTATCCTAAGTAAATTTTACTGAAATTAAGTGGCTCGTTAACACTATCTTGGGTATCAATACACTGGTAATTGAAATCATTCTTTTTTGGGAGGACATATTTCAAATCAAACCTCAGATATTAGAGGGGAATAATTTCTTTAAAGGGGACACTGTCCATTCAGTGAAGTTGATATTCATTATATTTATTTAAGATCTGATATGTGTTACAGATTTTAGATTTGTCAATTAATTTTTGTTTTTCTGCATTTCACTAGTTCATTAAACTTAGCTAATTTCGTATTTCTGCAAAGTTCGTTAGAATCAGTAAGATTCTTTAAACACAGATTAACAATAATTTTTTTAAAGAATAATATTTTGTATACTTTTTCTAATATGTTTTTATTCTAATTTCTCTACTAGTTTTAATTTTATAGTTGTGAAAATGTTCATAACTTTGTTGTGTCTTATCAAGTCCTTCAAAGTTTTATTTTGTGTATCTTAGGAAAGCAAGATAAATAACAATCTTAAGGAAATTATTATACAGTTGGTATTTCTTGTATTCTAGTGAATTGAGAGAAACAAATCATGAAAGTAACAGATTAACGCATTACTTCTCCTGAATTTGGTTCTTCTTTAGAAAGGTTAAAGTGAGAATGTAGAGAAAAAAAAGTTGGTGGTTTTCCGGTTAAATATTACACCAGGTAATCTTCTTATTTTTTTTTATCTAACGAGGAATATAGTTTCTTAGAGTTAACAACTTTAATTTTTTGTCATTTGTATCTTTGGAAAAAAAGTTGCAAACTATATGTTGTGGAATGAATTTTTGTTGGTAAATAGTGTTGCCTTTAAAAAATATTAGTTTTCAAAATGAGAGATGAATATTTTTGTTTTATAAAATACTATGTAAAAATGTTATAGTTGAAAGACTATTCAAAATAAAAACATTTATATGTGATAAAAAATATGTTTAATTCTGTTTGGAGACTAAAAACTTTTGTAGACTCCATGTGAAAGTTGATTGTGTCTAATTTGTGTAGACTAAAACTTTGTAGTTTCTAATCAGGATATATCAAACTATGCAATTGGTTTTTATGAAAACCTCACATAATAAGTCAATGTTGTACTTTTGACTTTCTATAAACTTCACTGATATATAGAAACAAATTTTACAATATTTTTTTTCTTTATTGTAAGTATTCTAAAAATTAAGTGGTATGTGCATTTGTGACAGAGGAAAAAATAGCAGTGTCTTAGAGTTTATAAATTTGTACCTCTATGGACTGAACTTTGACGCTATATAAAGATTTTCTAAGAGATTTAAAGCAATATAATTCTTTTGTAGAATAATATTTTCAGAAGAGGTTTATACTCCCAATGAAATTTCGATAGTCTAGAAAAATATGTGAAAAAATTATTTTCAACTATTTGTAAAATATTTTTGAGATCATATTTTAAATGTGGGGGTTCATTGTTTAAGATAAATATAAAATCTGACTTCGCGTCTAAATTTATTTTGGAGGACAAGATATGAAAATTAATGATACTTTTGTATAATGTTAGACGCACAAACTTGTTGGAGTATATTTGATAATGTGATCATTGAGTTTATCTTTTACTTGTATATGGTGTGACTAGTATGAACTACCAAATTATGCATATATACTTTTTCAATAGATGTGTTATTTTATGAAAAAGTGTCACTTAAAATATTGTGATTTTTCATAGAAAGATATGTCTATTATAATAAAAGTATTTGTATAGATATGAATATTGATGAATAGTCATTTGTCATGTTTTATAAAAGAGATATTTGGACCCGATGATGTCCTTCGAATATAATTTTGTAACATTTTTTGTATCTTCTGTAAACTCATCCTTCTGGACAGATGGTGTCAATAGTGAGATTGGTTCAATCTAGAGCAATCCGATTGGAAGTTGGTTGATCTTCCTCCAGGAAATAAACCTTTTGGTCTAAAGTGAATCATCAAAAGGGAAATTGTGAATGGAACTTTTTACAAATATAAAAAAAGACTTTTGTCGAAGGTTTTAGTCAAAAACAATGTCTTGATCTTTTCGATCCATACTCGCCAGTAACTAAAATTACATTCATTTGGATGTTAATTTTTTTTTGCTGTGGTATATTACCTCCATATTCATAAAATTAATTTTTAGAACAACTCTATTAAACAGAGAGTTAGAGGAAGAAATATACATGGAACAACCCGATGGTTTTTTTTTCCTAGTAAATAAAAAAAGTGTGCAAACTTGTTAAGTCACGTTATGGGATAAAACAAGCACCCAAACAATGATATAAGTAATTTGACCAACCCATGTTGACAAATGGATTTAAGGGATAAATGTGTTCACATTAAAATAACAAGGTCATATTTGTTTTTATATTGGTGAAGTGTTAATCATCAATAGAGACATAATGACATAAATGCTACTAAACGTATTCTAGAAAGTTAGTTTTGATTGAAAATTCTTGGAGTTGCTGATGCGATCTTACGTATAACAATCCTTAGAACATCATAATGTTTAGTATTTTCACGATCTCATTGCATTGAAAGGTACTTGACTAGCTCAAATATTTGGATTTCAATTGTCAAGTCTCCGATAAATGTGAGCTTTGCATTCAAAACGAGTGGAAAAAAAAGTGACTCACGATTGGATTGTGCTAGACTAATGGGAAGTATGAGCTATATCATGAAGCCTGCACAATCAAATATAACATTTGCTATTAATGAACTTATTCAAGGCACGAGTGATCCCAATCAAACTCATTAGATAACAATGAAAGGACTTTTGGAGTATTTAACAAGTACTTAAAATGATGTTTTGCACTATAACAATATCCAACAGTACTGAAAGGATATAGTGATGCAAATTGTATCACCCAACAAATGAAGTAAAAATCCATGAGTGGATATGTATCTACTCTTGGTATAGGAGCAATCTATTTGAAATAATCCAAAAAATACATGTATGTCTAACTCTACAATGATCTCTGTGCTAGTTACTTTAGATAAGTTTGGAAAATAAATTGACAGACTCAAGAATTTCTTGATAGATATTTTATTTGGCCCAAACAATTGACATTAGTATGCATACAATTTGATAGTAAATATGCAATAGGGAGAAAATGAAACATAATCCATAAAGGAAAGTCTCATTATATATGACATAGACATGATACTGTTAAAAATCTACTCTCTAGTGGAATTATCAAATTTTACTATGTAAAGTCAAAGGATAATATATCAGATCCACTTAAAAAAGACCTAACTAGAGATAAAGTTTAAACATCATCTAAGGGAATGATTTTAGATCTTAGGAGAAGTCATCATGGCGGTAACTCTATATGGGAGAATGGAGATTGCAAGAGTTAGATTCAAGGATAAAAATAAAGTTGTGACTGACGGTTCGACATTGTCACAAACTCAATCCATTCTCATGATGAAGACAATGCTCAGGAACAAGGATACAACATTAAGGCTTGTTAATAAGTTAAAGCTTAATGATTTCAATGATTTGCTATGTTTGATAGATTTGACCAAATAGTACATCTATGAGATAACATGGTTAGAAATCACCTATGTGAGCGTAAGTGTAAGCCGCTTCAAAGATAATTATTTTCAAAAACAAATTATCTATACACTGATGAAACAAGGAGGTGTTCATGGCTAAAACAAACACAAATGTAAGAACCATAAACGGCAAAAGGTTTAATTGTATGGCATATGATTGTCTAGGTTACATAAAAGCTTTACGGTTCAATGATATCGCATCTAATGATTGAACGAGTGTATTTGAATTATGTTCACTACAGACTTTCCAAGGGAAAACATACTTATCTATATGCAATTAATTCTTGATTGTAAAATAAACATACTTGCTCTTTTCTTTGTCTTGGAGTAATTCCCTATTCATGCTGGGGAATGTTGGGTGCTAAAAGATGTGAATGGAAAATGAATAGTTGCAACTTTTATGAAGAGTTGTGATTTTGATAACAAAAACTGTTACTTTTATTAAAAGTTATGACTTTGTATGAAAAGTTGTGACTTTTTATGAAAAATTATGATTTTTATGGAAGGTGGATAACCTTTTCGAAAGATTATGACTTTTCCAAAGGTTTTTGACAGTTTTGATAAGGCACAATAATAAACTTTTTCGCAGTACCCTTTGTTTTCAATAAATTGAGGGATTTCCTCTCATTTTAAATATAAAATTTCTGGACTTCTTCTTCTACTACTACTTCTTAATCTAGTATTCTAAGTGTACTTTACTATCATTGAGTGTCTCATTGACGCCAGCGTCTTAGGATATACGCTGGTGATTGAGATTATTTGAATAGTTCAATGTTGGATATTTTGTGTATTGACTAAATAGAAAATTATTGATATATACATGAATTGCAGATACTTTGTGCTGATTAGATGAGTAATTTTTAATAGTTTGATATTGGAGCTTTTCTCTAGTTACAAATCAACTCTAATAAAGTCTTATAGTTATTTATATAACGTATGTACATGATATTAAATTAATAAAAAATACTAATAAACATATTTGAATAGACATACACATTACAATTGTAGACTTAAATAAAAAGAGAGTCATGTACTACTTTTTTGTACAACCCGAACATACCATCCTATTGGACTAGAAATTACCTCGCAGAGCTAACCACACTAATAAAATTTTAATTCGAGCACCTTCACGAAATCTTTTACAACAAAGTTAAATTTTGTCTGAAATTTAAGACATAAAACGTCTAAAGCAACAGACCAATAAAGAAGCCCTCAAAAG